CCCCCCCCCCCCCCATCTCCCCCAGGATTGACGCCCATGCTTGTCATTCTGACTTTCCAGCCGGAGCTGAGAGAAAGCACCGCAACTCTGACTCCAGTTCCTACTGACCAAAAATGCCTGCGTTACGTTGCTGATGATACCTTCAAAGACAGAATTCAGTAATTGTCTTATAAAACATAAGCTGCATTTTTATTACCGGTACAGTACAGTGATGCCTTCAATACACAAGTATTTAAAATGCGAAAAATCATGCATGCACGTCTTCTTTTTTCGTTTGATAATTCAATTTCACCGAACGTATCGGAAACGGTACTGTCATGTAAGTGTCAAATCAATGATTTCTTATTTTTAATTCAGGTAATCGTACGTATATGGATGACATTGTGACGGAAGCTAAAGAGTACTACAATTGGTTGGACAGTATTAGTGGTACGTGTCTGGTATGGAATAATCCAGGTTTAGTTGCGTTGTCTATAAGAGCCAGAGCCATTATCGTTTGCCACTGGAACTGAACAAAAGAATCGAGTGTCAGATTGCTGTCATCGCGTTTTAAATATCTTTAAAGGCTTTAAATAGCAATTATATAAAATAGCAATTATACAAAATAGCAATTATATACTAGTGGCCTACTATCAACAGCTTACTAGTTACGGGAACAAATAATTTAAAACACTAAATTGTTTTTGACTAGAAACACGAACCAGTTAAGACCAACTATCTCTCACTAAGTACCCATGATAAAAGAACAACTTCGAATTCAGCCTGACATAAAAATAGTGCGGGTTTTTACTGTACTAATAATTTGCATATTGCCAATACACAATGTCCTTCTATTTTCAACAAGAATTAATACATAGGGTGGAAATTTTTAACTTCAAATCAAGGCAGCCTGGGAGCTCTACTATACTATTTGCCGACCTCGTAGCGTTATCACAAGGTATAGCAGAAGTGTAACTTGAGTCGGTTCCTTTATTGTTTTACGTCCACGAAAATTTTAACTCGCTCACGCCATCCTGGCTATAGTACAACCGGAAGTTTTTATCAGGTTTTGGTAGGTACAAAGTGCCGGTTGTACTAGCCAGGATGGCGTGATTGATGACAAATTTCTTGTAAAAACGCGGACAAATACTTGCTTGAGTTACACTTCTGCTATACCTTCCTATTCTGTGTCGTTATCAACAAAGCAGTTACATGTACCAAAACTTGGATCTCTATAAACAGCAAGTTTAAAAACAACCATTTTCTTTTACATATTTCGAGTCGGGTTGTCGTTGAATCGTAGTGTAAAACACCAAGCAATATTGTTCAAAATGTAGTCTTTCACATTCATGACACAGCTATTATAGGGGTGCATCTACCTTGGGGGTTCAGGGGTGCGCACCCCACCTAGTGGTGTCTAAAATCTGCTTCACCATACAGTATATACATTTTCTGCTTTACGAATAGCGATTAGCGGAACTTCGACTGTATAAGGTCCAAATATGTTTGGCATATTGCAAAATCATAACCTGGAAAGTTGTTTACAACTGTAGTGTTGAAATGATGTTACGATTTTGATAATTTGTACTTTGTTACTACCATTAGATCAGTTATGTGGCTCAGGGGTGGAAATTTTTTTTTTCTTTCTGGGAACCTGGGTCGAAGGCTAGAAATTTTCTGTAAAATTTGTAATGTTACAATTACAAACATAACAAAACAAATGCATAATTATTGTATTATTTGTACTTTAGTAATAATGGGCTTTAGGCTGGTTTTTGTACTCTTGTACATCACAATAGTTGTCTGTTATATACCACAGTTATGAGTTATGACCAACTAGTAAGGATCTTGATTTTTTCTGTGTTGGTGTTATGTACTAAGGTGAATATGATGTTGTGATGTTACTCTGAGAGTATATCCACACCGGGCAAACTACGACATTTGGATTGCTAGCCCAATGTTCTGCCAACTGAGCTACGCGGTCAGGTCGGTTCGAGTATGTGATATTTCGGAACAGAGTTTAGTTCCTTCAACATCAATCTAATCTAGTATTCCAAAGGTCATATAGGTTCGATTCCCACCATGGCCAGGCATATTTTTCAAGCTTGCCCGGTGTGGATACACACTCAGAGTAACATCACAAACATCATATTCACTTGAGTACACAACACCAACACAAAAATCATGATTTTTAGATTACATTGATGTCGAAGGAACTAAACTCAGTTCCAAAATATCACATACTCGAACCGACCTGACCACGTAGCTCAGCTGGCAGAGCATTGGGCTAGTATTCCAAAGGTCGTAGGTTCGATTCCCACCGTGGCCAGGCATATTTTTCAAGCTTGTCCGGTGTGGATACACACTCAGAATAACATCACAAACATCATAGTAAGGATCTAACGCTTAACTAAGTGTCCTATCATCTTATTTATTCCATCACTTTTATTTGTTTACTATTTAATTTGCATTTTATTGGAGACTTTGCAGAGCATATATTTACCATTTTACCAGTCATTGTGATAGCAGGGATGGGTAAAAGAATTAATTTCTGTCAAATATTTAAAAGCTGCTGATGTTAGCATGTACAGTGTAAATAAAGTAGAATAGTTGTAACTTGTAAGTTGAGTAAACAGAGTTATCTCAAAATGTTGAAATATTTTCTGGAAAATTTTCTGCAAAACTCTCAAATCAAAAAAATTTCTGGGAACTAGGTTCCCAGGTTCCGATACTTTTTCCACCCCTGATGTGGCTCTAACCTGAAATGGCTTCGGCTATATCGAAATTGTTCATTTCAACTTAAATCCTCTCTCCAAGAAACACTATAATTGAACAGTTGCTAATACCAAAAATAAATACTGGAATTTTCCACGTTTATCATGTTGCACTCTTCACGCCTTTTCATCCGCATCCTTTGTCACCCCCTGTTAGCGTTTCAGAACCACACCACTTTATATATTTCTTCACTTTTGGTATACATTTTCTCACCTACACTTATAACTTTTCTAATGATGTGTTTGTACTTCCATATATTATGTAGATCCAAGAACCAAAGAATGGCTTCTAGTTCCATCCATCCTCAGTCCACTGTCGGCGTGTCTTTTATATCTGTTCGTTGTCAAAATAGGACCGAAATTCATGGAGAAACGACAACCATTTGAGCTTAGAATTCCAATGGCTATTTACAATCTTGGAGCAACAGCATTAAGTTTATATTGTTTTACAGAGGTACTGTATATTTTTTATATTCCGTTTGAAACACATGGGAGTATATTTTAAGGAACTAACTGTGTTAGGCCAATCTACCAAAATAAGGAATCGCTGACCAAAGTTACATGTCATTTTGCACAATGGGTTTTGCCTACTTTTTATGGTGTCCAGAACATTACCAAAAAAGTGAATCTCCTCTGTGACTCTTACCATCATGCAAGCGTTATGTCGCATATGAGGCGTAGAGTTTCAAACTTGGTGTGATAAGATTACATATAATATGAGACCAAGCAATGGTGTACTAATTTTCTCCTACAAGCTATCTTAACTTTCTAATACTAGAAATACATGCATGAACTAAGTAACCCCTCAACTTTTTAACCAAGCAATTATAATTGATTAATTCCCAAACATTTTACAACATGAAACACAAAACAATAGACAGTCCGAAAATTGTAAACATTTTCACTCTCAAACCTTGAACGCGCAAGCATCTAGCGTATAAATAGTTGGCTTTTCAAAATACGTGGCATTTTTCTGAAGATGACTTAAATTATAGTCGAAACTTATTCTAAAAAGAATGAAAATGTTTACAATTTTCGGAGTGTCTATTATTTTGCGTTTTATTAAAATGCTCTATGGCAACCGCAATTTTTACAACGTGAATTATGTCAATTAGCCACTGTGCTTGCTTTTCTTTTTGCTGCCTAGGCGCGTGCTAGCGCTCTAGGACAAAAAAGCTCCGTCGTAGATGGAAGTGCTCACAATTCGGGTGCATGGACTCTAAAGCTATAGGCGCACTAAACGATAAGATGCCCGTCTTAAAGAATGTTCCGGCCGTTGGAAGCAGTTTTTCCAGGATTGTTGTATACTTCTTAATTTCCACCTTGATTTTTCTTGCCACTCATCAAGTTATCTATTGTAGTTTGTCGTTACATTGATATTGTCATTATTACTGCTTGTGTGTATATCAATAGGAATGAAAGCAATTCGTTGCAAGCAATTGTATACGGAGCTAATGTTATTTCAAAACTGAGATTATAAAAAGTTAAAAGTACACTGCAAAATCTTGAATCCTTTCATAAAAACTATTTTCAGGATACGTGGAAAATGCTCCGCTGAAGCCCCGAAAACGCAAACATCCTCTGTGGAAGAATGCCCCAGACAAGCTCTAGGTCCACTCCCTCCCTCTCCTCCCCCAGCCCCACACACACTAGAATAAGTTGCTCACGATAAATAGTCATATGCTGGTCAACAATCTGTATACAAAATGGCACCACATCCTAAACTAGGCTAAATAAATCGGCCAAATGTCCGCAACTTATATGATTGTAAGTGCTACTTGTTTTAATTATTAATTAATGTTATAGTTAATGTTAATTTATGTCTTTTGTACTTGTAGCTTTTTATTGGCTCGTGGAAAGCAGGGTATCATTACATCTGTCAAAGAGTAATTGTTTCAATGGAACCTCAACATTTACGGGTGATTATTGATCAACTTAAGTTTACAAATATCTGGTGGGGGGGGCTCATAAAATAGGTATGACATGGCAGAAAAGTGGCTCCTTGAATGTGCTTTTAAACAATAAGGTTTTGTGTTGTGTTCTTATAAATTCAGTCTTGTTTTTTTAGACGTCAAATTTCCGTCCAATTTAATTTGTTGTATTATTTATTCGATAGAAATAGACATTTCAAATAGTCTTATTCGACACAGCACATAATGCTAGGTTATCGAGGGATTCGATGGGTTTCGTCGCACAACAGACTTAACAGTTTATTGAATTTTTGCCCCAATGGCCTCGTTGCCATGTTTGTCTGTTTTAGCATGGCAGGCGCACATGCACTGTATATTTCAACAACGGTGACGGAATAGCTAGCTTAAGCAACGTTTTTGTGAACACGGTCGTCAGATTGCCGAGTAGGACTGGATTAAAAACTGTGTTTGTGTCAGTTTGTGATAATCTTCAACACATATGAGAAAACATAAGATTTTTAAAGTTTTTTGTTTCCTTATACACGTGCGCTATGATGCAAAATGCTGCCAAAATTAGTTATACCAATTTTCGGGTGACGTCCGTGTTCACAAAAACGTAGCTTTCTTAAAGTGCCTATCACCCATTTTTTTTTACTTTTTATTCGAAAAGTATAGTTAAAAACAAATATAAATTCGATTTTTTTTTTGAAAAAATTTTTTTTCCCATGATTATAATGTTGGCCGAGCGCATCGAGGACTGGTAACCTGTGACGTAGCACGAGGGACTCATGTTAGTCGTGTTGTGTTTGCTACTGTATAAATATACGAACAGAATTGCTATTTCAAGCTTATTTTTGGATTATTTCATTGAAATTTTACGTCGATAATGTCTAGAACGTCTTCCGGGTCTGACAAATGCTCTATCTCTGACGATGACTCGGAATATAACTATATTCCGGGTAACTATTCGCTCATTGAAACGGAGATTATGCAAGCTTCAGAAAGTGACGATGGCGATGTAGAACAGTCTGAACAGACGAGCTTTGCTGATGTGCAACCGTACTCAAGCGAGCCTATAGCGGATGAAGAATGGGTTGAAGAGTACAGACAACGACAAGCAGAAAAAGAACAAAAGCTTGCAAGTTTGAAAGATCGTTTAGCTGGAAAAGAAAGCCTTAGTAACTGGTAAGTCTGAAACAAAACTAACATGTATTTTTAACATTTTAAATTCAATGCCAATATTATAAATCATTATGTATAAATCGCTGACCCATTGCTATCACATTTTAGGTGCTCTTGTGGTAAATGCTCAACAACCCTATTGCAAAATCCCAATGAGTGCTTATGTTGTCAAGACATAGAGCAATGTGTAGAGTCCTTGTCTGATAAATGGGTGCTTGAAGATTTGCAAACTGCTCCAGAATGTATAACATTACATCCAGCATTTGGAACTGTCTGCCTTGATAGATGGTCGTTAAGGTTAGCAGCTGGGAAGTACAGGACCATTGACAAAAAGCGTTATCTACAAACTGGTTCAGATGAGGCGTAAGTCATCTTGACAATAATTCTGTATTTTTGTTAATTGGGGGTGTTAAGGTGTTTACATCAGCCATATAATAGATTATACGGTATATATTAATGTATAGACCACTAAGACCAGTAGGGTTAATTTTCACCTTGGTTAACATGGTAAAAATCCCAAGAGTACCAAACATGTAGCATAAGATGTTGCTTATAATCAATGCTCTTGGGAGTTGGGATGGCAATGATCAATTAAAATCCATTGTGATAGCTATCATGAACCTTTCTATAGTATTACCAATAAAGTATTTTATAGCGGTCTTTTTCTACTTTGTCATTGTGTGTCATAACTTTGGTCATATGAATGAATTTCTGTTTTTTAGATTCATGAGAAGTGTGGCATACCGTCAATTTATACACCTGGTATATGAGCATGTTGGAAAACATAGGATTCCACTTCCTGCATGTGCCTACCATGCAATAAGGAGCAACTTCCAACCCAAAGACAGCAATGAATATTTTGTTGGTTTTCAAGATGAAGACATGGATAACTAAGAGTGATTACCTCATTAATGCATAAAGCTCTCCCCTTGACAAGTAAAATTGTCTGGTGTTATACAGAGTAAAATAATAAGGTAGCACACTTTTTGGAGACATCTATTTGTAGTTAGTTTGTTTGGTTAATAACCCTTTAAGTGGCAATGCACCCTGATGTGCCCTACTTTAGTATTTTAGTCCGTCTAACGCCAGACAATTTTATTCATCAAGTAGAGAGTGCTGCCACTCAATGGGTCAATCAAACAAACTGCCCATGCATCTCTTAACCCTTTAAATGGCAATGCACCCTGATGCACCCTACTTTAGTATTTTACTTTGCTAATGCCAGACGATTTTACATGTCAAGTGGAGAGTGCTGCCACTCAATGGGTTTGCACATTGCTCTTCCCTTAACCTATCAATCTGTATGTCATTAGACAGAGTAAAAGAATAAACCGGAGTGCATTGTTGCTTAATTCACTAAGCTCAGATGCAGCCTAGTTATTCTGTTCCTCTGTTTAATGACATACAATTTACATACTTTATTTGTCAAGGAAAGAGCCTTGCCCATTAGTGGGTTAACCAAATTTTCCATCTAATGCCAGATGATTTTAATTGGCAAGGGTGTGATAGCCTTGTGCATTAGATACTTGTAATTAACTTGAACAAAATTACTAGTTTTACATATTTTTTGGACAGTCCTTTACATTTTTATGTCCTTTCATGGGATTTTTGCATGATCGACAATATCTTGGCTTTCGTAAAACGGTTTGAGTCATTGAAGATTCATTCACTAAAACACAAAAAATGTGTAATCAGTTGATATCCTCAAAAATTTCACAAGAGAGCACAATGTAAATATTCTTCTCTTGTTAATTAAATGTATTTTACAACTTGTCTTTGCTTTAAGAATATACCTTGCACAGTCCTAGGCACTTCTTGTACAACCATGGATTTCCTCTTTTTCCACAATGCTGTTGCCTTGTCCCTTGGCTGTTTTTCCAACATCGTGTTCATTGGGGCTGGTGTCATTGCCTGCAGTTCCAATCTTGCTGCTTCTAGCTTCTTGTTTTGTTTGGCATCAATAAACATGTTGAAAATTTCCACTGTTACCTGCTATATTTCTCTATTATATAAAATAAATGAGGATATAGATTAGTAAAGAGGATAATATGCTTTTTAACTTGTAAATTAGTAAGGCTCTGACCCCATGTCAAGAAAAATCATTGGCAGTAAAAGAATAAAGTGGCCAGGGTACATTGTGCCATTGGCAGATACTGGCAGTGTTGTGAGGTTTTTTCCTTCATTTGGGTATTAGGTTTCACATTTGTCAATAAAAGAGTCAGCCATGTTTTTATCTCTGCAACATTCACTTTTGCCATTTACTTTACAGTTACCTAACTGTTTCTGTAACTAATATAATGATAAAATGACTTATTTTCCACTTGGAAAAGCTACAGTAAGTACATAAAATGTGGGTGTCTATGCCTACCTGAACCAAGGAAAAATCAATGATGAGGGGAACTGTGCAACAGAACAAAGTGTAGGCACAGTATTTGGCACTGTGACCCATGCTGTCATGCCTGCCATCACCAGCAATGACTAGAGACTGTTCTGTTGCTTTCAGCTTGGCCATCATTTTCTCTTGGTATTTCTTCCAGTACAAATGCACAGTGGGAAAGAGTTTGTTCTAAAGAAATAGTTAAAAATGTGTCATGCAGTTACATTATATGTAACTAAAGCCAGTAGTTCATGTATACACACCCTGACCCTGTGTCAGGACCTAAAAATTGGCATACATGAAGTAGTCCCCCATCTGCATATAGCCATATACTCACAGCCTGATGTTTGAAGTAAGTCTTCAAGGAAATGCAAGATAATCCAAAATTCTTGAAAACTAGAAATATTTTGGATGGTGAAGCACCAGACACCAGGACTGAAAAACAGAGCAGGAAGTTCATTGCTGGCATTTTTGTTCCTGTCATGATTGGCTGACTTTTCCAGGTATTCTCGGGAGATGAACAGTCAGGGTTAAAGCACTTTGTTGTTATTTTAACCATAGTACCAAGAACACTCGTTTCAATAAAGGGCTTCTCTGATTTACAAGCTGGACATACGTTGAATAGGAGCAGTAGTTGAGACAAGAACACAATGAACTTTGGCTCGGTTCGTAAGTTTTCTGAATTATCTGGAGTCCTATAACAATGAGAACAACAAAATATATCTATTAATAAACATAATTCAAGACTTCTAGAACATGCTCAACAGTTCTAAATAATACTATAATTATTATTATACTGGGAATAAATTACACACAATATAACCAAGGCTAAACTTCTATGCAATTTACAAAGTGATATATATCCTATTACAATAAGCTTTCTTTTACTAGTAATTAAAATGTATAGATTTCCCACTTCTGACTATTATTAAAAATATTTACAGCATATGAAATTGGGCTGTTCTTAAATCTGCTAATTTTACTATAAAAATTGTGAGAATAATCTTTATTGGATCTTGTGTTCCTTCTAGCTACTTGACTTTTCCTTGGCGAGAGGAGACGATTAAGTTTGTGATCTTCATGGGATAGATTTTACATTCCCATAACAGATTACTCCTTCTAGCTACAGTACTTGACATATTTTTATTAATATGTTAACATTTTATTACAGTATGTGTACAATTTACTGCAGGAACTGCCCATAGAAAATTTTAAAAACTTTAATGCCCTGATGGAAAGCCTTGATGTACTGTATGTACACTGATGTGCCCTACTTTATTTTTAACTCTGTCTAACGCCAGATGATTTTGCTTTTCAAGCTAGGGAGGAGTGCTGCCATTTAACAGGTTAAACTTACTTTATAACTTGTGGTTCTTCATCATCTGAAGACAAGTCTGATTCTGACAAATCTGCTTCTGGAGCAGATTCAGTACCAGAAGCCAAGCTATGTTCAGGAGAAGAAACTTCTGAATAATCAGGCTCCTCTTCAATGTCCATTTCTTCATCACTGCTTACAAAGGTTTCGTCTTCTAATTTCTCCTCCATAGCAGCTACTTTGGCCATACTCTCATCTATACTCTCTGTAGTAGAAGATGCTAACTATAGTATAGAGCACTAATATAACATTACACTTTGAAAGACTGTGCACAGCACTTTGTAGTGATAGAATAATGCACCTCCTGAAAAACCTCACCCCTAGAACTATTTGTGTCTAGTTCAATGATAATTGTTGTGCTTCTACCCATGAAAATTGTTGTGCTTTTGATGTTGAGGTATTCTCACCTTTTTGTTTTTGTATTGCAGCCTCCTTGACTTGGATTTTTAGTTTAAGATCAATAATCTTATTGCAGAGTTGGCGGTTTTGGCTTTTCAATTTCTTACAACCTAAACACTCTGGTGTTTGGCAGGAAGCCTCTTCAGTCTAGAAAATAATAATTGAAAAATTTGTGATATATTTTCAGCAAACATATTTCTAATGGTAAATTTGCAAATTTGAATCGTTCAACTTACAGATAAAGGTTGTTGGACGGGATAAAGGCTGTCAGATGTCACCGTTTGATCATCAACCAAGCCAGGCTCGTCAGTAGTGGATGTTGTTGAGGTACTAGCTTCAGCCTCACTGGTTTTGGCAACATTTTCTTTTAGTAGTTCTCTTACAGCCTATCCAAACGAGAAGGGCATGTTTGTGAGTTTACTGAGTTGACTATACAGAATGCGTGAATGAATAAAGCGGAGTGAATAAAGAATATTGTACTTACACGGCGATGCTTTCTCGTTGAACTTGGATGAGTCGGATCGACACTGTCTTGGCTTTGGCCATGTTTGTCGTAATTGCTGGGTTCAGGAGTCTTATGAATCGAAGGAACAGCACCTTTTCGTAATACTGATCGACTAACGAAATCCGTTCCAGGTATAGTCACAAATGGACTTTCAAAATCTTCGGTTTGAAAGTGCTGTGAACAAAGCCGGGAGTTTGCTGTTGGCGACCATTTTGCACGTTTTGTCCGCACAAATGCAACCCAAAGTCGTCGTCTTTTCTTCTCTAAATCGTTATCTTCGGGAAATTTATGAAGACCGATATTTTGTGAAGGGTCAGGAACATTAGAACAACCACCAGCTACACATCTATTAGGCATATTCTTTTATAAAACTCGAAGAAATTTGCGCGTAAAGCTAGTAGCGGAATAGATGTAAATACAAATTGCAAAATGCGAGTCCCTCGTGCTACGTCACTAGGCCCAATCTCTTCGTAAATCACTTCGCACGGCCAGAAAGCTTAGATATTTAAAAAATGCACTATTTTCACACTGTTTTGACTGAGAAAAAGCATTAAAAAAGGGTAAAAATGTTTTTATTTCCGAAAAATATCATTACTAGTATGCTCCACTTTCAAATTGTAAAATAAAAAAAATTGGGTGATAGGCACTTTAAGGAATGAGATCTGCCACTTGGAGCGTTTATTTTGTGAATATTAAAATTTCATAAACCTGGACTGACAGATAATTTAAAAGATATTTGTGTATATTAAAATTAAGTAATTGCTAACAGATGAAATCTACTAAAAGCAAGTTGTCAAATTACTGTATACATGCAATCGTCACAAATTGGCAAGGCTCCAAAGTCAAGGTAAATTACTTAGTTTCGTAAAGGTTGATAATTGTACATAGTTGGGGAGACGAGTGGGAATCTAATTAGAAAACATTTTCAGCTAATTACGAGAAACGTCGGGACGTATTTCAAAACATATCAGACTGACGATAAAAAGGTGGCAATAAACGCGAGTCTGGTCTAATATGGTAATTGCTACATACACACATATTCATGCGCACTACAAATGTTATACTGTCACTGACCTTCAGCATATATGTAACATAAATCTAGGGACACGAGTATATGAATATGCACCCCCTTCCCCCAATTATCGCGTACCGGTTATACGGCCCTGCATAAATTTCAGAAGTTTTAAAGTGATTTGCTCAAACGGCAAGCTATAGCCGAGATTAGTGTCTGAACATATTTCAGCCATTTTCATCGCTTTATTGTCCAGTGAAATATGTTTTAATTCCTACATGTTCATGTGTTCTTCTTTTAATGTACCAAAAATATTAGAAAAATATCATAATCAATATTTCAAAAGATGTTATATATAATTTTTTATATTTGTGCATGCATGGCGATATTTTTATATTTCCTGCAGTCTGATCGGCTGCAGGAGTGCCCAGCTGCTTTATTCGAAATCTTGACTGTGGTCCAAATGACTTATTTTTTTAGCGACAAGCCGTGAAACCGAGGGCGAGGAGTGGAGTGAATTTTCACACTCGAAACACCACCCAAAAATTTGCGAAATCCAACCTATCGATACTAAAGATAGTAGAAAACAGTGAATTGACTTCAATTGACTTATTGCCCATAATGTACTTTTCTGCGAACAAAATGCGAAAAAGTCAAATCTAAACAATGAAAAAACAGTGGCCAGTGTGACAAGTTTTGATTCAATAGATACTACAACATGCAACTTGCTCGTAAACATAAAAAAATAGAAAAGCACCTTAATAAACGGCATACGTCTCTCTTTTTTTTCAGTACGGACCTCCCAGGCGGTAAATAACATATTATAACAAATATCGTCAGTTAAGCTACAACACTTGCAAAAGCTAATGAAACATCTAGACATCATTTGTAATTTAATTTATTCTCATACCCTTTAATTCCGCCTTACAATGTTGATTAAGATGAGTAATCTATCCTACACATGGTGCTCTCTACCATCGATGAACTATTGAACACATTTATTGAAACTACAGCCAACATTATTCAGATTGGAGGGAATATTATGTTCTGTATTTTACTGATTTTTCATAGGCGTTTTATTAACTTCTTGCCTAGATCTTAGGTTGCTACTTACCTAAGATGTATCTCTGCTTATTTAGACTACTATGTATTCATGTTTTATGTAGCATTTAATTGAAACAACGAGAATTAATAATGGCTTATTCGACGTGCGATACAAGTGTTCTTCGAGATGCTATTTTAAGAATGTGGACACCCGTTGTTGGCGCAAGGTCATTTAATGAGGTTATGGTGGGGAACGCACATAAAATAAATACTGTCTTCGGGCAAAGTTATTTTGGTCGCGTAATGGTAATGGATAACCTCCCATTCCGCCCGATATTCCCATGTTGGGAAGATTATTCCGATAAACAACCACCGTTCGAAATTGAAAAGGAGATACTCTCCGGAAGTTGGAGTGAAGGATTGTACTTTTACGGTCATTCAAACTTAAAAATTCCAGACATGGATTATATGTTGATCCTAAAAAATATTTCTTTCTCAGAAGAAGATCAACTTTCTGGTAAATTAACACTAAAGGAAGACACGCCGTTTGTTCATGCTTACATAACAGATAAGAACGCCGTAAAATTGTGGAATGATTTCTTCGCTGACCAAGAGGATGTACAAGGCAAGAGATTGTCTTCTAGGAAACTAAAAGAAAGGCTGAACCAGAATCACAATAAATTGTTTACATGCTTTGGGAATGCTAATTCAAACGATGTTGACGACGGAGCTACCATATACATCAATAGAATCGCGTATTACGACCCCGCTTTAAAGGCAGCCCATGATGCGCTTACCAAAGTCAAAGACTATTCTTCAGATATGGAAAGTAAGCAGTGTATGCTAGGCGAAATAGAAGATTTTACCAGAGAATTGATAACTTTCACAGGTTGGGATATTGTATTAGCTATATCGTGCGAAGGTTGGCCGTCTTGTGCAAAAGAATGGATAACCCGGGATCGAATATGGCCGCATGATGATTTGGTGCATAAAATCACTCACGATGACGGTTTCCACATTGTTCCCAAGAGATCGACAGAAGGAGATTTTCGATTGTCGTTCTCGTTTGCTGAGACTACATTAATTGAAAACCTGACTGAGCTGCAGCATAAAGTAGTTCGTTCTTTTAAAGCTGTAGTAAAATACCATCAGAATACTTGGAGTCCAAATATCAAGGAAATTATCACAACATATCATCTAAAAACAATCGCCTTTTGGCATTTTGAAAGAACAATACAAGATTCCATCACTGAGCAGACAGTGGTCACTCATCTTATTTTATTGCTTCAGCTGGAACTGGCAGAAGCATTACGAACGCGTGAGCTTCCAATGTATTTTATGCCAAAGGTCAACCTCTTTGGAAATGTTGAAAATCCTGAGGATGCCCTTGATATAGCGGAAAAGATCGACAAACTTTCCCACGATTTTCCCCTTGTTGTAATAGCTATAGAGAACATCACCTCTGGCTTTGAACGACATACTAGCCTTGCACAAAATATAATAGAAAAATGTAACGACTTTACATACAGGCGATACAGGAAAGGTAACCAAAGTGTAGTCCCAAATCCTTCAAAAGAAAGAATGCAAGAACTGTATACGTGCTTTGGTACCATACAGAGATTGTGCAAATGCCTGAACCCAATGACCAACATGCAATTTACACCACAACATGAGCGAAGAGTTCCAGGACATGCAGAAGGAATTGCAAAACCTGCGGGTATTTTCGCAATTCTACAGCAATTCCAATTTGATACGGAAGAATTAATTGACTTAGAATAATCAATTTCAGCAGTTAAGCAGATGACTGCTTTTCTCTACCAATGGTGCATGGTATTGGAAATTGTTTAACATTTTAAGTAAAATCTGGGTTTTTTGGAAGTGAATATTCTCATTTTCACTGTAAACAAGCCTGCTTTAATTCAGTCATGCTTGCAAATCTAAACGTCGCATACTAACTTTGTAAATATTGAGCAAAACACAAATACGCCGGCTAAATTTGAAGGGAATAAGATGATTAAAAAATATCTGCAAAACGATTCAAATACAATAATATGAAGTGTAGCCTACGAACAGGCTCTCAAGCTGAATTGAGAGCCTGCATCGATGACTAATGAATTTGAATATCTGCGTCTCAAATCGTGACGCGAAATTCTCATTGGTCAGATGCTATAATTTATATGTTTCCGCTGAGCTCTATATGTGTCAACTGCTGAAGCACTATGCATAAAAAACACATTTAACTGATCAAATTGGTCTTGGCCATCTTATCTCAAAGCACGAAATGTTCTGTTTTGAGAAAACAGTATTTAAAACATTTGAACTTTTGCTTTAATATCTTATATTTCGAAAAACAGTATAAACTGTACGGTCTAAATTTAGTTTGTACGGTCTAAATTTAATTTGCACGAAAGTTGTAAACAACACCATATAAGGATAGACATTCCATATTTGGAAAAACGAACGTTACGGGGCAGATATTCAAATTCATTAGTCATCGATGCAGGCTCTCAATTCAGCTTGAGAGCCTGTTCGCAGGCTATATGAAATGTAAAACTAATGCTCGAATAAAGAAAGTTTTAATACGCTTCACTTTACAGGTTCGAAATCACAATGCAGCGTATATTAAGGTGATGCCACACTATTGCGCATGAGAGAAACGTATGAGAAGCGTATGAAAATTAATGAAATAATTTTCATACGCACAAAAATCCTTTGAAATGCCAGCGTATGAGTACCATACATCTGGCGTACCTCTAGCGTTTTCAACGTGTGCCTAGAGTATGCTTATCGTATAAAGCATACGTCCGATACCCACAAAATGTTTGAGCATGCTTAAAAAAAATTCTGCCTCACCGTATGCCAGCGTATGCCACCGCACACGAACGTGTTTGAAACGTATAAAACCTATGCCTAACGTACCCTTAGCGTATGTCAGCGTATACCGGCGTATATGGATATTTTTCATACCCTGGCATACGCTAGTACGATACGCAATAGTGTCGGACAGGCCCTTTACATAATACACCTATTTCTTAACGCTAGGACGATGGCACACCGAATATGGCACACCGAATATGGCACACCGAATATGGCTCTGGACGATGGCACACCGAATATGGCTGTAAACCTGGGGGGCGTGTAATAATCAAACGCAAAATTCAAGTCAAAATGGCTGAGATAATATCTCTTTATATTATTACTGGAACAAGCTCACAAAGATATTATTTACTAGCTCTACGAAATTAAAAAGTGTTATGTCCAGTACAATAAAATACCTTATTGACAACTCCCCGATAGGGGCTTTTCAGTGACAATTTTACAAAAATTAAATAGATGCTATATATTCCTAATTAAAACATGCAAGAACAAGTAGTGTTAACTAGTTAACTAGTTGACATTTACTTTTAAAAGTACTTAAACATTCAATTGTCTTCACAAACAATGGCAGGTTATTCCATATGTTGACAATTCTATAAGAGAATGATCTTTGTCCTGCTTTGGTTTTACACAATGGAATATGTAATTGGCGGAATTTCATGTTTTTCGTCCGCTTACGCTGCCCTTGGTGCTAAATTTGTTGCTTAAGCCTGCCGCACACGAGAGCTATCTGCTGAGCAAAAAGTTACTCGTGCCTGTTAGCTCAGCCGATAGCTCACCGTGTGCGCGTATATTTTACTGAGTTTTTTGCCTCATGCAACCTTTTCTCACGTATCAAACATGTTTGATCGGTGAGCTATCAGCTGAGCTAACAGGCACGAGTAACTTTTTGCTCAGCAGATAGCTCTCGTGTGCGGCAGGCTTTAGGTATTCTGCATAGAACCATACCCATGACCCATCTAATACAAATTAGTTTTGATACGGGCAATACGAAGAATGCCGTATAACTGCGCGAGAGGATGACGACTTTGTATGTTCATATCTTCGGTTCAGTGCACAATAGTTTTAGTCTTTATCAACATTTTAGCGATTGTAGCCTTTGAAAGTCAAGTGAGATCGCATGTTATCAAATTACACAATTGTCTGAACTCTTTCTCGACGACTTTGTATGTTATGCTTCATTCGATTCAGTGAAAACAATATCAACTAATTCCTCCCAATAGTTTAACTCTTTTCGGTCACAAACATTCGCATCATATTACGACCCAATCGTTCTAGTATAAATATCTCGGCGAGTATTGACCCCCGTTTTAAATAAAACCCATCATTGAAATCCTCACAAAATAACCTTTCGAACGGGGGGTCAAGTGCCGTCAAAACATTACACAAACCGAAACAATCATATATTTACTCACCGCTTGACCAAAGATTCTAAATTTCATATCCA